TTTCTTAGTAACATAATTAATTAAATATAATACAAAATATAACCTATAAGGCAGAACAGCCGGCCAAGCAGTGTAGCCAAACTGTTACATATCTCTGCCCTAAGATTTGTACTTAGTAATAACATAATCATAACACAGATATAATCAACATAATATAATTAATACAATAAAAAAAATAACATAATAATATTAATCATAATACACATTTAAAATCTTATAGATCTAACTTAATTACTTTTTTTATATTTCCCCTTAGTCCAGGTCGCCTCTCACATCTACCAATTTCATCACTCTTAGGAGTCTCAACTGAAGCTTCACCTAGTACTAAGTCCAACTTTTCTTTTACTATTTCCTTCTCTAATTCATCATCTAATTGTTTACCCACATCACTATTTAGTTCATTTTCATAATCTATGTTCTCACTTGGGTTCCTATAGAAGTCACCAGACTTGATCATTTGATCTAAGTGTCTTTTCCATACCACATTACTCTCTAGTATCCTAACTAAATAAATTCTTTTTCCAAGAACCTCTTCAACTACTCCCTTTTTCCAAGATCTCTTATTATAATTTTTGTAATCCCTGGCAAAACACATTTCACCTTCCTCGAATTCTACTTCTCTTTTTCCTTTGAAATTTTTAAACTGATCATCCTTTCTACCTCCGAACTCCCTTAATAAATCCAATCTAGTACGCACTTTTCTGCCAAACATTAACATTGAAGGGCATTCTCCAGTCACCCAATGCGGTGTGTTCCTATAGTTAAATAAATACCTACTAATCACAGAACTAACTGACATGCCTTTACTACTGTCCTTAATAAACTTCAACAAACAAGCTTTGAAAGTTTTAACAGCATTCTCGGCTGCCCCGTTTGTAGATGGATGAAACGGTGATGAAGTTATCACTCTAATACCATTACGATGACAAAATTCTCTATATTCTGCCGAAACAAACTGTTGACCTTTATCAGACACAATCTTATTTGGCAAACCATACCTTGCAAAAATATCTTTGAGTTTGTCTATCATGAATTTTGCATCTGTCCTAGGCATTTCATAAATTTCAGGCCACTTAGAAAAAGCATCAGTTAAAATAAAAAACATTTTTCCAGAGACTGGACCCAAAAAATCAATGTGTACTCTGTCGAAGACACTATCTGGCCACTTAATTAACTTGGCTAATGGTGGGTTTGGTCTTGCCTCAACACATAAAATACAACTACTAACAAACTTTTCAATATCTTTATCTAAATTTGGCCACCAAAAATAAGTTCTAGCCAGATTCTTCATTTTAGCTGCACCCATGTGTGCACCATGTAACTCATTAAGTAATCCTTCCTGTAAAACTTTTGGTATGACAACTCTATAACCCCACATAATAATTCCTTCTTCAACGTACAACTCATCTTTTTTATTAATAAAGGTTTTCATTTCTGCTGAGATTTCTTCTAACACCGAATCGCCATTAATAACTGATAAAACTGCACTTAGAATCCTATCTTTTTTTGTTTCAACTCTAATCATGCAAGCATCAATAGGACAGGACCTTTCGACAAATTTCAAATAATCTTCACCTAAGTCCTCCTCTTTCACTTTTAAAGGAAGTCTAGACAATCCGTCAGCCGCACCATTTTCGCTTCCCTTAATATAAACAATATTATAATCAAAACCAGCTAAAAACATAGCCCAACGTTGTAACTTGCCCGCTGCCATAACTGGTATACCTTTCTTTTCTCCAAATATTGCCAACAATGGCTTATGATCTGTCCTCAAAATAAATTTTTTTCCTAGCAAATACTGATTTAGTTTTCGAACCGCCCAAAAAATTGCCAACGCCTCCTTGATAATAACTGAGTACTTTTGTTCCGTTTCATTTAAAACTCTTGATATGTATGTAACAGGTTTTTCTATGCCACCAGGTAAAATACAAGATAACACTGCACCTATGCCTTTTTGAGAAGCATCACAACTCAATACTAGTTCCAAAGAAGGGTCATAATGCACCAAAATGTCATCCGAACACATTAACTCTTTCGCTTTACAAAAAACCTTCTCACATTTATCAGATCAAATAAACTGTTGTCCTTTTTTTAATAATTGATAAATGGGTTCCATTAAACCTGATAAGTTTTTAATAAATTTACCATAGTAATTTACCATGCCTGCGAAAGCTCTTACTTCATGCACATTTTGTGGTCTAGGGGCTAACCTAATCGCCTCCATCTTAGACTTATCTTTCTTAAGACCTTTAGCACATATTATATGACCTAAGTAATGAATCTCTTCTTGAAAAAAACTGCATTTACTCAAGTTCACACGGAAACCTGCTTCTTTTAGCCTACTAAAAACTGCTTTTAAATTATCAGTATGCTCTTCATCCGTAGCACCAGTTACTATTACATCATCCAAAAAATTCATTGTATTCTTTAAACCAAGCAAAACTTTTCAACTATTTCTGGAAAACTGCACATGCTGGCTTGGTTCCATATGGCAACCTATTTACCAAATAAATTCCTTTATGTGTGCTCCAAGCCAGAAGTCTACTTGTCTCTTCATCTAACACCAATTGATTATACGCATTTCTAAAATCAATTTTTGAAAAAGTTTTTCCACCTTGTAAAGCTACAAATAACTCTTCTACCTTGGGCAGAGGGTGCTTAACATCCTCTAAAAACTTATTCACTGTAGTTTTATAATCACCACAAATTCTTATTTCTCCATTATTTTTTAGCACAGGCACTAAGGGTGTTCCCCAATCATTATTATCCACTAAGGTAATGACACCTTTCTTCTCTAATCTACTTAACTCCTCTTCTACTTTAACTTTAAACGCAAAAGGAACCGTTCTTGGTTTGACAAATACTGGACTTGAATCTGGCTTAAGCTTCAAATTAATTTTTTCAAAATTGTAAGTACCAATCTCTTCACTAAAAATATCCTTAAATTCATGTAACAACTTATCCAAATTTAACTTCCTACTGTTAACATTAATCAGGTTGTTAACTCCAATGCCAAACTCTGCCATGATATCTCGACCAACCAACGGTTTATTATCACTTGAAACAACCAAAAACTTACACTTTTTTTTTATTGATTTATAATCGACACACATTTCCACTTCACCAATCGGTTCAATTATTGCTCCATCATAAGCCTTGAGTTTCACAAAGGTAGGTTTAATTTCATACATTCTTAATTTTCCTTTTAAAATATTTTCTGGTAAAACTGACACTCCTGCACCAGTGTCTAGTTCCATTTCTAACTGTACCCCATTAACTAACATTTTAATTATAAAAGGTTCACAGAAATTAACTTCATTTAAACTAAACATATTAATAAAATCCATACCCAAGCTATCCAATTTCTGAGTTTCCTCAGAGTTAACATAATTATTAGACTTAACCTTATAGCTGTTTTTCCTACTCTTACATACTTTTGCTAAATGACCTTTGGTCTTACATACATTGCAAATAAACTCCTTGTACCTGCATTCAGAAAATGTATGGTTGCTCTTACCGCATGCAAAACAGGCTGCTTTACTTGTAGTAGACGGTCCCAGCTTCGCTGCTCCTGTTGTAGCTGTCGTCGCTTTTTCATTGCCCATGTTCTTATAGTTCTTAGGTGCCTTCTTGTCAACATAGTGTCTGTAATTTTTGCCTTTGTAAGTATTCACAACGTTAATGTCTCTGACTGAATTAACAACCGTTGATTCATACTTCAGCGCCAGTTCGACCATAGTTTTTAACGTTTTTGTTTCAGGATCCTCTTCACAGAGCCGGTCCAACACTTTTCCTGCTCTTAATCCAGATACAAACTTATCCTTGAGTACATCATTTAGTTTTGCACCAAATTTACACTCGATGGCTGCATTTTTCAGTTTTGCATACCAATTTCCACAAGTTTCAACTTCACCTTGTCGAAGATTATAAAACTCTATACGTTTTCGAAATACCGAAACTGCTGGAGAAAAATGACCATTTAACAAATCACAAATTTCTGTATACGGTCTATATTTAGGTAAAACCGGATCACTCAAATCCTTAATTATTTTGTAAGTATTTAATCCAACTACTGACAGTAATACAGGAACCTTCCTTCCTTCTTCAATGGCATTAGCGAGGAAATATTGTTCCAGCCTTTCCTGGTACAATTTCCAATCATCCGTCGCTTCAAACTCCGAAACGGTACCAATACTACCAAACACGTGGAACTTGTCTGGAGCCATTACTTCGATGTCCACTATTAACGTACTTTATAATAAAAAGTTTACCATTTTGCCTTCGTCGCCAATGTACAATATTAAAGAGGTAACCAAATAATAATTACACACATGACACCTGAGTAATGACACTTTAGTACTTTATTACATACAGAACCGAACAATAAGTAAATGTGCTTTTACAACATTTCTTAGTAACATAATTAATTAAATATAATACAAAATATAACCTATAAGGCAGAACAGCCGGCCAAGCAGTGTAGCCAAACTGTTACAGCCTGAATAAATATTACTAACTTACAGCTTGTTGTCGCGTATATTCAATGACTTATAACACTCCAAAGTCACAGGAAATCACAAACACATGTAAACACTAATCTACGTGTGAGACAAATGATAACAGCGTAATCAATTTTAGCTATAATAAAACTATATTACAAGTATAAACTCTTTGGAATATTTAGAAAAATTTACAACAGTTTAATGGAATAAATAAATATTATTTTTAATATCAAAATTAACTGATTTACGTGTATCTTTTAGGATACAGCGTCAAGTTAAGGGTTAAAAAGTGCAAGTTCTAAGTCCCTACATAATTTTAGTACAAATGTGTTAGTATAATGTCAAATTGTATTGCCTTAGGACAAACATATGATGCCTACAAAGTTGGATTTAATTTTGGCAAAAGAAGCTTTGCCTAGCAATTATAGTTTTGGATGTATTGAATATCCAAAGATTTTTATGACCGACAATTCTTCAGCAGAAATAAATGCACTTAATCATAACTGGCCAAATAGCAAACATTTCCCGGGTAACATTTTAAGTTCACATTGAGTGCAGTAGGATATATTTCATGGTGTTTAACACGGTGATATTTCGGGTCAGGGCATGGTGTTTTGATGTCACTTGAATACCGGTTTTTAACATGAAAAACACTGTGCTCCTATTATGCTACGGTCGGTTCAAATACTATGCAACGGTGTTTAATTCAACGGTACATTATCCATGTACAGGTCAGTTAAAACACAGTGCAAAAATGTAAGTTACTACCGTTTATTATATGTGTAGTGGTTAGTTTGAACACTGTGCAAGTGTGTCACACATGACAGTTGATAACGCATGTATAGGTAGGTTATAACACGGAGTACTGGTAATTTTTAGTAAATATCCATATATAATTGTGAAAATATTTTTATTTTTAATACCACCACTTAATTATTATAATGGGTTCATACATTTTAAATAGTTGAAAAAATAATGACAATTTTAATTCTTGTACCTAAATACTACTTGAATAATACAAAGGTATACAAAATATTTTAAGTTTTAACATTAAAATACTTATACAACTTGAAATAATAATAAAATAAATGTATATAAAAAAATTATAGATAAATATGTTTAAAAAAAAAAAATCACTAAAACATTTGTACAACTTGTAAAAAATAAGTGATATAAATTATTTAAAAAAAAATTATAACAAAGTATGTAAATAATAGATATACAAATAATATGATTTAAAGCCTTACTTCAAGCTATTAAACACAAATTGTAAGATGTGAATTCAGAAAAATTATAATGTACATTATATAATTATAATAGGTACAATGTACATATATTTTAAATATTTGAAAAGAATAATGACAATATTAATACTTGTGCTTACCATTTGAATTATACAAGGTAAATAAAATCTTTAAATATTAATTCAGAGTATTCAAATACTTATACAACTAGAAATAATAATTATATAAATATATATAAAACAAATTACTTATAGAAAAGTATGTTTAAAAAAATAAAGATTAATAAAATATTTCTACAACTTGTAAAATATAATAGTGGTATAAATCATTTAAAAAAAAGTTTATAACAAAGTATGTAGGTAGATAATAGATAAAATATAAATAATAGGATTAAAGCCTTTAATTCAAGCTATTAAACACAAATTCTTTGACGTGAATATGTGATTACAATAAAAAGAAATAATAACTTTTTATAAGAATATATACACTATACAGGTATTAATATTTGTTTATATAAAAGTATATAATTTGTATCATGGAATGTTTGTATCAATCTTTTCATCAAAGCCAAGCGTTTAGGAGCATGTCGGATGTAGTTGTCAGCAACCTTGTGAAATATTGCTTCATCACTAGGGGTTTGAATAAAGCCTGATAGAGCTTCTAGAAAAATAATAAAAATGGAATCATCAATATTTTGTTTAGTTATTTAGTAGGTAATTACTATAATGTATAGTAAAACATACATAAAATAGATAGGTATATCTATATCATAGTGTTTTTTGATTCAGTTTTAGTATCATTATAAGATAAACCTAAACATTCTACTATGAGGCATAAGAAGTATTTAAACTTAATTCAATCTCAAAGTATAATATATAGGTACCTACATAAAAAATAAATGTTTTTTTTTAAATAAAAAATGTTGACTAATAAAAAGAATAATACTAATTCAATATTTTACTTAACATGTTACTTAGATTTATAGGTACCTAGGAAAACAAATTAAGTTAATTTAAATTAACATTTCAGCGGAATTTGTAAAATTTAATTAACAAGATATAAACAAATTATAAAAACTATTCATGAATAATATTAATGATTAGATATTTTGACAAAGTTATAATACAATTCAAAATTATAAAATATATAAAGAAGCTTACCATAAATTATACTAAATAAATGTAAGTCTGTAAATTTCTTTTTTGTTTTTCCCTTTTAACTGCACATACTTAAAGTACTGGATTCAAAACACACATCAACAGCTCCTCGCACAGGTGCACTTAAAGGCAATTTTCCCACTTTCAACAATGTATGAGTTTTCTGAAAATTCAAATATTATATGGATTAATTTATGCCAAACGAGAAATATATAAAAGAAATTCTTGCTTTTCTAAAAGTGTTTATTACAAGTCATTATAACCGTTATAACACCAAAAAAAAACAGTACCTTTAATTTAATTGACAATGAATTTAATAATTTAATTTAATTTTAATTATTAATTATTATTATTATTATTTATTATTAGCTACTATATAGTAATATGCATGTATTAGCTGATACAAATAGTTTACCCAATACTTAAATGTGTGTACTTATAATTTTAGGTGAGATATTTAATTGTTAACATACTTTTTTGTCTATTATAAGCAAACTATCATAATAAATAAATTGATTAAGAATGTTTGTTTAAAAAAATGAAAAATAGGAATACTTCACTTACAAGTTCTTCTCTATATTTCATTGAATCAGCATTCTCAGTAGATAATAGATTTTCAAAGGTCTGTAGATCATCAACACTTTTAATGGGAAGAAGCCCCATGAATGGAGATGGCAACTTTGGGAAAGGCATAGCAAGAGCACGAAAACGTCGATCGACAGACAAAATAGATTCTAGTAGCTTAGAATTATTTTGAACAGCCGAGGAAATCCGGGCAAGTGATCCATTCATTAATAATATTCGGCTCATAATTTTTTCATCTTTCTTTTTCGACTGTTCTTTTAATTTCAATATCTCATCTTTAAGGTTATCAATTTTTGAAGAGAAACTTAAGTCTGAATCTGAAATAATCAATTATAGTAAAAATACATTTTAAATATTTTACATATTGATTTTGTACTAACCATGAAAAACATTCACACTGGTAGTTAACAATTCATTATTATTTGAAACATTTATTGCTTCTTCTGCAGTAGGTTCATTGATGGTTTCTCGACTGCCATAATTTGATGTTTCAGGGTCCAAAATAAAGTCAGAAGTATCAGCTGTTGTCAAAAAATCAAATATGCCATTTTCTTGGTGTATATTATTTTGAGATGTAGTCATTAATGTACCAAAGTCTTGATCAAGGGTACCTAAAATAAAATAAGATAATATACTATATTATATATTTAAATGACTTCAAATTGAAAATTTAAGTTCAAATAAATTCTTATTACTGATTATTATATTAAGGATTATAAATGCTTACTATTTTCACTAGATTTTGAACCCGATGTTAAGAGATGATTATTGATTGTCGGCGATAAAACACAGATAGGTTTCATTAAAGCTGAAGTAGAATGTACATTTGACAAGGGCAGATCATTGAAACTAGATGTTGATTCTGATGTTAATAGTTGTTTAGTTAATGGTGATGAAGCAGAAACAGGTTTTATCAAAGATGAATTTGACGGTACTTTTGGCAAAGGCAGAATTAATGTTCTATTTACTTTTTTGTTAGGTTCTGGGGAGTACCTTTTTGTAGAACATCTTTTCCTGGGTTTTGACTTATATTGATCATTTTCATCAGGATTTTCACTTTCATCAGTACTGCCTTCAAGACCATGCCTTAGCAACTCGACGAGCTTGTAATTCATTATCTATAGTGTTAATTGAATAAAATTGTCGATATTAAATACCTCGATTTTCCACAATATTTCATATCCATTAGTTTAAATTCTATTTTTCTTAACTTACTCATAAGGTATACAATTAATACAACTCAAAAATGCTGTGTTATCTAAACATATTATTCTGCATACTTACTAAAAGGTCCTGCAACTTTTTTAGCATCATAAAAAATGCCATCATTATCATTTGGCTCGATGCAATCCAATATCATTTTTTTTATTTGAATACTTGATAAGTGTTTTATGGCCTTTTCCATTTTTGTAAATGGAAACCAACATTGGCTATCATCCTTATCATGTAACTCAATGAACCACGAACAAGGAACATGTTGAACCTCGTTTATTTTTAAAAATAAAACTACAATCCAAGACCTATATAATTATTAAAAATGTGAGAAAAATGAGAATAATAATATGTTTAAATTTAGATACACAGTATTAATTGGTAGGTACATAAAAACTTAATAATAATTAAAGTTTATACATTTACTTTAAATTTTACCCTAAATGTTTGATGTAATATTATTTATTAATATTCATACATAGCATACATTGGTTATAAATTATAATATATAACCAATTAAAACTAT